CCAAGCCTCGTCACTATTGCCCTGTGAAGAAGAGGCAGGGACAGGTGTACACTAGAAGTAAAACGTGAGCCACTGGGCAGCAGGCCAATCGAATTAAAAGTAAAACTTAAAGCATGCCTCTGTAATGATTTCTACTAGGTTCTCATCTGTGTATCACTCATAAAACTACAAATGCTAAAAACGACACACTGATACTTTCATAAAACATTATCATCTAAATTTTTCTGTAAGTTAACTTCTCAAATTCAAAAATTAAATTCATAAATGAGATACACAAGTTACGTTGGTATAAATGAAAAGTACCAACTAAGTAGGTGTCAGCTTTATGTATTTCAAAAATTTTGCAGTGAAGCAAATGCAGCGAGCAAAAATTGATGACTACCTCACACACTTGGTCTTAGTGTAAAATGCAAAAGAATCCTCAAGTATAAATTCTGAAATCATAGTTAGTTTTACAGTTCTTTAATTCGATATATCTTGCCCTCACATTTAATATATTTGTAAATACTTTTCTAAGGCCACCTAAATACTAATTGATTAAATTTGCTACCTACATAATCCCTATTAAAATTAAAGAAATTAACGGTCCATTTCTATTTTTATTTTTTCCACCAACTGGTGACATGCTTTCAAAAATACTCAATGTTTCTGAAAAGGAATTTATCAGATTCGTAATACATTTAAAATATGGCCCAAGGAGTAAGTCATACCCCTCTTAGCAAACATATGTACTATCTTGAATTCTATTAAACTCAGTTGGTTCTCTCCTTCTTCTGAAACTCTTCCCTTACTCAAATAACTTAAACAATTTAAGCTGTTAGCAATAGAGGGAGAAACATTTTTACATTTATTTCGTATATATTTGGAAACACATAAGAAAGAACATGTGCTCCAGGCAATGTAAGTAAAGCTATTCAATAAAACTTTTCTGTTTTCCTTTTTTGAGGGGTGGTGGTGGTGGTGGAAGGTATGTGGCCAGTGGAGGGACAGGCAAGTAAATTTTCATGTATATTAACTTCCACAGAATAAGATTCTAAATGAAAAATGTAAAATATTACTAGAAGATGTGATAATTTTGATTACCAAGCTCAAGAAACAAATGATTAGCTCTGTACTTTAGTTGTCTGGCTTTTCAAATCTCAGTTAACATAAGAACAGTACATTTAACATAGCAAACAGTTTACTCTTAAAAAGACAAGTTCCAGAAATCTAAACCAAAATTTATATAGTAATAACCAGGAATATGTCAAAAATAGAAGAACAATCCCCACCTTTGCGTCGTATTAGAACACAGTATCCTTAAAGTTTAATTATATCGATAAAAGCAAACTCACTAGTCTATTTAGCTATAAAGGATGTCTTTATTAAAATATTTTGGTTATAATAAATATAGAGAATATTATTAAGCTTAAACTGAGTTCATAAATCATTTTTCATGATAGTTAAATCCACAGATTTCTAATAATAAAATTAGGCATATAGATTTCAAAAGAAATCTATGATATTTCCCCAACAATATACTTAATAGACTTCGTTTCTGAAAATTGGAATAATACTTTCAGAGAAAGGATATTCAACAGGTACTATTTCTCATGATAAAAAATCTTAATCAGCTCAAAAAAGCCTAATATAGCCAATTCAAGTTACATGCTGTACTGTGCCTTAAGCTAAGAAAACTCAAAGGAATTACAGATTCTATAACTTGTGTACTCTGAGTGCATTTTCTAATAAAGATAAATAGCTAGCTGTGTACAACCCAAACACATTGAAAGTCTCACACTACATTTCGTGAAACAAGAAAAAACAATTCACAATATATTTTATGTAGGTTGGTAACAAACTAGTCATAACTTGAAATGTCTGATTCATCTGAATAACAGAAAATAGACAAAGAAGTAATTTTCCTTCAATTTTAAAGAACTTATACTTCTTGATGTTATTATTTGGTTTCTCAGAGTGTCAACCATTCAAAACCTAAGAGTTTCATTTGTTTTAAAAGCATAGCATAATTCTGACTACTTATCTTTAATGTAACTGTCTTGAGCCAAAATACAATAAAAAGATAAACTTCAAAGGTGTATTAATATTAATCGTATTCTGAAACCTCTGGGAAAATGATGATATGAGTGGTATTGGTATGCTCTTTTCCATTGATAGTTCAACCCTTTTCAATTAATTTTGATCTAATGGTGGTTCATGAGAGTCATTTTTACAATGTGTTCACAGAAAGTTGCCATTGCTTCCAAAATCTGAAACCACAAATGATGTACTCAGATACCACATCAATGTAAGGTTGTTTGAAATATATTTACAAAGGGTGTAGATAAGAACTCAGCTGTGAACATAAATTAACATACAATGGACCACAAGTGATCATTTGATTGTACAATATGGGAAAAAACAAAATTCTGTATAAAAGGTCTAAAAACAGCCCTAATTTTAAACTACTTCTATTAAGCCATAAAAACAAAGGAAAATAGGGATTTCTTTTAAAAACTCGATATGCCAGTAGAAATTACAACATAAGTAATTTCTATTCAAGATTAGCCTTAATCTCATGTAAAGTACAACTAATATCTTACATGTGTTTTTAAAAATGAAAACATTGTAGAAATCTACAACGGATAGTAGTTTATCAGTAAACATTTTCTGTTAAATAATGCAAATATACTAACTTCGGTGATGTAAACTAATAACTTTCAGAATATTTAAATACCTTCATTCCAAAGGTGCAGTTATAGCACAAGTATAGAATAGGCTGTAAAAGATGTGCAAATTTAAAAACTTTTCCATTGTGTTGTTATGTGTGCTTTTTCCACCTAAGAAATGTCTGCTGTTTACCTCCCTATGCATTTTTCAAACCGAAGTCAGTCCTCGGTGTACCTTCCACCCAAAGTGAACACTATGTATTTTACAGCGTTTACAAAATGGCTGTAAAATCACATTATGGGTAAACGTGGGTCTCTGACCTCATTGCACAGAATTCATAACTGTTCAATAAGTCTTACACCACACATCTTAAATGATTTTGATTTTTCCACAATTCCTTCCAAGATCAACTTTCAAAGCAAAGCAAAGTAACATGAAAAGATCTTGGGAAGGCTTGGTACACAAAAGGACAGCTTGGAAATAAACTCATCTACACACGCCTTTCCATTGGCAGCCAAGCGCTCAACTCGCTGCGCCACCAGCCCCTTCCATCTTCTATGATGTTTGTTTAATCCTCCTTCCCTTATCATCCCTACTAAAGGTGGGTGCACTTGAGTCATACAAACGCTAGGCTTTTCCATGACACCAGACCCTCCCAGCACCTCTGCTTTTGGTCCTCAGACCACTCTGTACAGGTAAGAAAAATCGCAGGAAAAGAGAGGCTGTCCCTTTAAAATGCCCTTCCAGATCCCACGTGGAAGCAACATCAGCAGCACTTTACTATTAACTTAAAGGTGATGCAAGAGTCATCATCCTTTTCTACACCTAAAACCAGCAAACCTACTGAGGATGAACAGGTGAAGCAAACATGTAAGGGGGGCAGAAACCCAACAACTGCCTCCCCCTCCCCAAAAGGTGCTCTGAGCTTGCACCCCAATGTGTCTGTGCACTATGCTCTCTCTTCCCTGGCTTTGCAGAGCCAAGTTTAAAGAAAGGAGGGAGCCACTCACAAAACCTGAAGCGTAAAAGCGACGAAAGGGCAATCTAAAGCCGGAAAGGTTTACTCTTCCAATCACACACATTAACTCTATTAAGAAAGTGGCATCACTTTTTTTACACCACCACCACCACCCCGCAAACATCATTAAAAGGGAGTTATAAAATAGCAAATATCGTGTTTATCTTATCTCACATCAGTCCACATTACCAATAAGTAGAGCAGTTTCTCAACTACCACCTCCCCTCTCCCTCCCCCTCCTCCTCTTGCATCGGATTTTCACGTTTTCTCATTGTCGGTTGAGTTATAAAAGGCTTTTGCCCTTCGAAAGTTTTTAAAAAATAAATAAATATTAACTCCTTGGTCCCTGCAAAGTCAAAATGGACTTCAGGGGAAAGGCGGTTCGTAGTTTTACCTTTAGCGAGAAAAGGGGGAGCATCCCGGATTTTTAGGGATTTTTTGCGATTTTTAAAAAATTTTTATTTGGTTATATGCCTGAGTTCTCCCTCCATTTTGGTTGTTTATGATACTGACAACAAGCTGTCCCTGCCCTGTGCAGATCTGCTGCTTTCATTTAGCACCCCCGGCCCCCCTCGCGGCCACTCGCCCCAGCTCACACGTCCCCGCAGACCCCGCCACCGACCCCGACTCGCCCACCTGGGGAAGGGGCGAAATCAAATGCATTTCTCCGAAAAGAAAAACCTCTTTTGAAAACGGGGCACAGTTACCCCAAGTCGCTCCCAGTACCCCCCAAATATTGCCGACTGCGGGTCTCCGCCAGGCCCTATGGGAGGCGACCTTCCCTCGGGATGTTTTGGTGGAAAATGCGGAGAGTTTACTCTCAAAACTGAATTTATATTAATTTTTCCCTTATTTTTCGGGTCTCTAATGTCTTCCGCTCTCGTTGCTGCCGCTGCCGCTGTCACAATATTCACAGCACCAGAGAGGAGGAGGAGGAGGAGGAGGAGGAGGAAAACTTTTCAAACTTTCCAGACCCTGAATAAAGTAGCTGTTTTTCCCACCGCCCTCACCTTCGGGTCCCCAGCCGCATCGACCCTTGCCCTGTCAGAGGCTCCTCCGAGAGTCCTCGCACCCCCGTGCAATGATTTTATTTTATTTGTTCTGGTTATTTTCCTTTTGGGGTCCAGAGCAAGGCTGAGAGCAGCACAAACTTTTCCTCCTCCTGCCGCCGCCGCAGCTCCTCTGCCCCCTCGGCGAGTCCCATAATTTAAATAACCCTGATATTTCTCCCGCTAAATGCCTCTCCGCCACCTCGGACCTCGGCAGGACTCACCGCAGAGCTTCACCATCCTCCCTCCGGCCCGTCCGCCGCCTTTACACCACCCGCGGAATTTCTAATAATTTTTTTCTCATATTTCGGGCTGGACGCGGCGGGCCTGGAAATTGTTTCCTTACGCCTCTCTCCAGCAGCCATTGTAGTGTATGCGCTGCCCCTGCAGCCCAACTTGC